AAGGATTATAAAGTCTTTCCTTAGATACTATCCCTTAACAGAAAAACATATTCTATAGCCTGCCTTCTATAGGAAGATAGTCAAAAACTTTTTTTTTGCTTCAGAATTTCTTAAGCATCCATTTGAATCATATTTTATATCTTTAAATGCTAACTTAGCTTAAAGTGAAAAACCAGGATTAAATTGTTTTAACATTTTAACAATTGTAAATATTTTTTCAGTACCTGTTCTACACCTTAGATACGCCAGTGGACAGGACACAAACCCCTCCTCCTGTCTAAACCTTGTCTTCTTCCTCTCAGCTGAGAGTCACACAAAAAGTAGAGGAGTTTAACCCGTAATAATGAAGATTTAATGTGTGTGCACTGCTGGAGTGTTTCTGGATGATTATATTTTAACAAAAGTTAATGGCCAAGTAATGAGAATAGGGAACTGAGGTGGAAATCCAGTATGAGTTTGATGAGCAGAGCAATCTCAGTGAGAGATGCCAGAGGATGTGAGCCCCATGCAGTCTCTCAGAGTCCGGGCTCCTCAAGTTCAATCATTTCAGCAGGAAAATGGACATGAGTGATAAAGGAACCTAAGAAATGTGCGCTGAGGGTTTTCAGAAAGGACAGCCATGCTTGGAGACTACCTAAGGAGGAGAGGAAAACGGTGGAGTCTTCAAACACATCTGAATAATTTATTTTTAATTTTATTTGTGTGTGTGTGTGAGAGAGAGAGAGAGAGAGAGAGAGAGAGAAAGAGAGAGAGAGAGAACGAGAGAGAGAGTTTGATGGTTTGATGTCAGGTGTCTTCCTCAATGTCCTACATCTTTTAAAAAGTACGACTTCTGCATTATTTGTTTTGTATTTGTACATGTTTGGGCACATATGGGCTACTATGTATGTGTGGCAGTCAGAGGACAACGTGCAGGAGTCCTTTCTTTCTTTCAACCATGTTGATTCTGGGGCTAGAACTCAATTCTTCAGGCTTGATGGTCCCTTACCTGCTGAGTCATCTCAGTAGTCTCCAAAATATTTTTAAAGACAGTGTCTCTCTCTCGCTGGGCGTGGTGTTACACACCTTTAATCCCAGCACTCGGGAGGCAGAGGCAGGTATATCTGTGACTTCAAGGCCACCCTGGTCTACATGGCAAGTTCCATGCCAGCTGGAGCTACAGGGAGACCCTGTCTCTAAATAAATAAATAAATAAATAAATAGATAGATAGATAGATAGATAGATAGATAGATGATAGATAGATGGATAGATAAATAAATAATAAAGACAGTGTCTCTTTATTGACCTAGGAGCTTATTGACTGACAAAACTGGCCAGTCAGTGAACTCCAGGAATCTACCTGACTCTGCTCCATAAGCTGACAATCCTGAGGTTACAGCTATGTCCCAAGAACCAGGTATTTACAAGGATGCTGGGGATGGAACTCAGGTACTCATGTTTGAGTAGCAAGCACTTTACCAACTGAGGCATTTATACAGCCTCCTTTCCCCCCGTTAATTTGCCACAGACAATCATGTGTTTTTATGGACACTGTACAGCTGTAATAGAAGTGGATGTTCCAATCTCCTGGGATGGGAGTCAATATCGAAGACATTGGAGTAAAATCAGGTAAAGGACAGTGCAGTATAACACAGGGCAGTTTGCAGGAGGGCTGGAATGTGGACTATGTAGATTGAGGAAGAACAGGGCTATACACAGATGACCCAAAGGACTTCCTTAGTATCAGAGAATCATGTAAATATCTTCTCCCAGGTCAGGCAGGTGGCACAGAAGGTCAGAGTGCCTGACAACCCGAGTTCAGTCCTGGGACCCACACGGTAGATGGAAAGAACTGACTCCCACAGGCTGTCCTCTGACCTCCACACAGCGTGAATACACATGCACACATACACATAGACACACAGATACACAAATATGCATACATACACACAAGCACATGCATACACACATATATACATATACATGCACAAACATTCAAACATATATATACACATATAAATGTAACAAAACTAAAAATATATTATTTTTCTCTTAATTAGTGAAGAAATAAAAGAGGCATGGAAATCTCTCCACGTTATTCACGAGAAGCTACTGTCAGTCTTCAAAGATCCAAAGAGCAAACGGCAGCATCACCACCACTGCTGCAGGCACCCCCGCTCCTCCTCCTCCTCCTCCTCCTTCTTCCCAGACACTGAACAGTCTCTGACTTTTTAACACTTACCACATACTAGCTGTTATTTCATTTCATTCAATTCTTATAACTCAGCAAAATGAGTCTTTCAAGTCCTAACTGTATATGTAAAGAAACAAGTAAATCTATACTAGAACTTTATAACCTGATGTATGACTATGGCACATGAGTCCTGTGCTTACACACTCTATGTTCCATTATCCACCATGGAAATGTGTTCTGGAAACTACAGGTCCACTGGCTAAGATGAAGCCATCACTATTGTTAGTAACAATGCCACAGATCAATTCAGTGGTTCACACTGTCCATTCTGTTATATCATGAACTCTGTAACATTAGCTCTGGCACAATCCATTTCCCTGTGTATTTGATGTATATCCTTTTGGACCAAATGAAGGAAGCATTCATGAAAGCTGGGATGGCTCAGTATGGAACTGTCCATTAAAGAAAACAGTATTTTATTGCACATAGAGCCTGCAGCATTCCAGGTGACCTTTGTATCACGGAACCATATGCCCAACTTTTCTTTCTAGTTTTGTTTATTTTGAGCAAGATTTCACTAAATTGCCCAGGTTGACCCTGAACTCACTCTATAGTTCAGGGTAACCTTGAAATTTTGATTCTCTTACCTCAGTCTCCTAAGCAACTGGGATTATAACCCTGTGGCCCCAGGCCCAATTCTGTCAATTTTAAAGGTAAAATTTCACTGTTTGTAAATAGAGCCAGTTTATATATTTAAACATATAAATCGAAACAGACAAAATGTAGTCAAATTTTGGTTTTAGTTGAATAAGTAAAGACAAATATTTCAACTTCCCGTCTCCTTCCTGAATAGGATTTCAATCAGAACAGCTGATCCTTGGAAATAAATGGGGTAATCTGGATTTGAGATCTGTGTACATCTCTTGATTTGAGTGATTAGGAGTAACTAGGAAGCTGACTAATTATCACTAGAAAATTCATGAACCATATCCTTTAAATTTGGGAAACACTAGATTTATTTTATTTATACTGTTGTACCAGAAATATTCTAATTATGTTGCTCCTGTTAGTATCTTTGCTCTGGTAAACAGATGCCACCTAATTTTAAACTCACAGTATGATATTTTTGAATAGTTGATGAGCGTTCTTGTGGTGAACTACAGTAAATAGAGAAGGTTGGTGTGCCACTTAAAAACATAAAGTGAAGTAATACATTTCAAATAGAATGGCTTATATATTTTGATGACTTCTCAAAAGTGTAATGCATTCAGAATACATGTTAACCTAAGAATGCAAGCTATTCGTTACTACACCACAAAACCAAAATTTTCCTGTTTTAATAAGAACGGCACAGTATGCTTCTCTAGTCTATGAGCAATGGGCCTCTATAATGAACCATTGTTTGATTGAGTCAATCAAATGAAATACTAATCTGACAATTTGTAATTTACCCCCTAACCATAAGAGGAATTCTCTTTTAAATCAACATGCTCCCTTTGAATCCCCAAACCCATATGATCATCCTATGCAGACAACAAAGACCCTTCTGCCGCAACTGAACCAGGTCACACCAAAAATTATTTCATCTGAGACAATTTAGATCAGTATATCAGACTTGCTGAGAGATCAAACTAGAAGGCAATTTTTCGAAAAACATAAAAGTATCCCAAAGTTGACTTAAATTGTTTTAGGCATATTCTTACCTCCAGAAACACAAAACAAGTCAAACTCCTTATCCTTAGAGATGAAATAAAATCAAAATTCTTTCACAATAATATATAATATTTTTCAGAGTGAAAGAGGCTGTTTTATCACATCTCAATAAGTGATAAACAAACACCAATATGGTGAAGCACGGCAAAGCTTGGAACTTGCGAAGCTGGCACAGTTGGTTCATCGGTGCAGCCTGATGCTCACCATTTGTCTCAGCTTTTACTGCTGTCACAGTCTTTGGTTTTCCTCTTGCCAAAGACAAATGTTTATGTGATGAATATTCCTTTATACATTTTGAATTTGCTTGTTGCAATCAAAGTAATCCCATTCAATTTTCTATTGACATGATTAAAACAGAAAAGCAAACATTGGCACAAATATCACATGGCACAAATTCTGTCATAAAATGACTACCTACCCAGAAGACCAGGAATATGTTCTTATTCTTTAAATTCCAATATCAAACAAAAACACAGATCATAAAATGATTATAGGCAATATGTAGACACCCTCCCCCAAATATGCAAAGCCAGAATGAAAAGCAAGGATAATTAGCTTCATAAAACTGACTGTTGTATTTAAAATGTAGCACATTTCTTACTTGGAGGCAAAGTCACACAATGATAGTATATTGAGCTAGAACCCTATTAAAACAATTCACTATATTATCAAATGACATTTCAATTAGTTTATGAATCATCTCATAATTTCTGAAGAAATCATATAAGTCGTGTCTGAGATCTGCAATCTCCAAAGTATCTGATTTTAATGGCAGCAGGAAGAGGGACCACTGGGCGGAGAAAGAGGTGTAGCCATGGGGGGCAGGAAGTACTGAGGAGGGGGGCAGGGGAGGGGTGGGAAGACAGGGTATGATGACAATATACATGCAAACGCAGCACTGAAAATCTCCTTCATAGGCTGACTGAACAAAACTCTGATGTTAAGAGGTCACAACACAGAAGAGACTTCTAACCTTTTGTTCTCTCTCACTGCCTTGTCCCCTCTCCTCCAGGAGATGGCTGGCTTCGGGGAGCCCTGGGGTTTGCACTCTATGAGGACTTCCTGGTCTTTGGTCACAATTATTGTTTTCTTCACTTGGCTCAGTGCAAAAGAGGGAGCTGAAGCTATCAAAAAAGAAAATTCAGTCCATGAGAGGCAGGCCAATAGCAGTTCAAGGTCATCCACCAGATGCTCAATCTGTTCCTATGGATCATATTTCTCTTAAAATCTCATGAAAAAATTTATGGCATTAACACAAAATTAAATTTTTTAATTAGTAGAGATCTTACTGGTTATATACCCATTATCAGCTAATGGTTTCATATAATGGGGTGCTACAATGAAAACTTTATAAAAATGATGTGCTGGGTCTGGAGAGATGGTTCAGGGGTTAAGAGTACTGGCTGCTCCTATAGTGAACCTCTGTTCAGTTCCCAGCACCCACATGGCTGCTAAGAACTGTCCTTAACTCCAGTTCCAGGGGAGCCGACATCCTGGTCTGGAGTCTGTAGGTTCCAGGAACACCCATGGTGCACTTACATACATGTCAGGAAAACACTCATACACATAAAATTAAAATATATAAAAATTTTAAAATGACACCCTTCATGTATGAGTATGAGCATCAACTGTGAAAGACTGAAGTTCATTTGGGCTAAAGGTCAAGAAGTCAGTCAAGAAAGTCGATTTGGGTTCCTGTGCAAAGATGGATTTCATTTATGCAAAAGACAATCTTGTGTTTTCCATTTTCCATCTTATTTAATTTGATTTGGTCCACATTTTATTGTAATGTTATAAAAAGGTATAGTTTTAAAAGAAGTATATTTTTGAGGAGATAGAATGGTATGAATTTCAATTCAATTTTTTACTTCATCTGTCACAATTATCCATCTAAGTGTGATCATTCAGCAATAGTCTTTTTACCATATTTTAATCAAGATGCTTTTAATTTTTAAAGCTGTGTTGACAAGTCTACAGTATCTAAGCCATTTGCTTTTACAAACTGTACTTTTGCATGTGTCTCTCGTCAGTAATATACGCTCATATTAAAGTCACATAAGCATTACACAATGGTGTTGAAATGCAATGCACATTACATTTGGGGTATGCTAAGGTATTGAAGGAAACTGACGGGAACTATGGAAAGATTATAGGTGGCAGTTTTTGCTGCCTTCTGGAATGGAATTCATAAAAAAAAAGTTGATTAAGAAGAGTGTAAGAATGTTTCTGGAAAAAAAAACTATGAAGTAAATGACGGCTAAGTCAGATTTTCCATTCTGACATGTTGGAATGTGAGTTCAGAAGAAAATACATTAACATTTGATTGTTAAGATGAAGGATGGAATCATGTACCTATTGGGGTGTGGACTTTTTTTGTGTGATGTGGAGCAATTTCAGTTGCTGTAAAGGTCATGTGTGTGTATAGACTTTAACAAGGAACTGGGAAGGACATGATAGACTCCTATGCACTTTGGGAAGTGTTTTAGGTTCACTTAGGTATTTCTCTGTATATTGCTGTTATCCTAGAACCAAAGATCAGGAAACCACCAGAGTGGTAAACAGGTAAAAAGGAAGCACTACACCAGTGTCCCAAGTGTTTTTCTGGGAAGCCTGGGTAGAATCTTTCACGTGGTGTTTCAGCAGTAGACTTATGCTCGAGGTCTTTTCTTAACAAAGGTTCAGCTATCCGTGCTTATGGTGCTGGACGTCAGGACAGTTTCCCTTCCATCGCAGAATGACCATACCTGTGAAAAGTTTAGTTCACCCTGGAGCTGCTTTTTTAGGAGTCACATACCTAGCAGTAATGAACAGCTGTTTGAGGAAACTATTAAGCATTTCTATGTGAACAGGGGTATGCTGATAGAAGGCTACCTCATGGTCCAGTTCCTGTCCTAATTAGCTTTCCTTGTCAACCTGGCTCAGCCTAAAGTCTTTTGAGAGGAAAACATGGATACAGGAATTTCCTTCATGAGACTGGCCTGTAGGCATGTCTGTGGGGGATTGTCTTGATTACTAATTGATGCAGGAGGCCCCAGTCTGTGTGGTGGCACCATCCCTGGACATTTGGTCCTAGGTTGTATGAGAAAGCTAGCCAAGTGTGAGCCAGTGAGGAACCAGCGAGCTGCATTCCCCCATGGTTTCTGTTTCAAGTTCTTGCTTAAGTTCCTGCCCGGACTACTCTCAGTGACAAACTATGGTTTGTAAGTATAAGCTGAATAAATGCTGCCTTCCTCCTCTGATTTGATTTTGGTCAGAATCTTCCATCACAGCAACAAGAAAAGAACAACAACAACAAAAACTAGACCAATCCGTTAAACAACCTCCAGGCATTTTCTTTTGAAAACTGCCCCCCCCCTTTTAACATGATGAAAGCCAAACTCAGAAAAGAAAAACAAAAACCAACCACATACACAGAAACTCGGCAGCAGTAGGCTCTCACAAGGTAAAGCTGACTTCTACAGCTGATAGGGAATATTAGCGAGAGACAGTGTTTCTTTATGAGCTATAAAGTAGATTTTAGAATCAACTCATAAGACTTCACTGACATAAGAACAAGGGCATGAAAAAAAGTCAAATTCTTCTCTTTATTTGCGGTGAAATTACATACCAAGAATCTTCAGCTCAGCGCTCGCGTAAATGCCTCCATATTTATTCTCAGCCAGACACTGATACATTCCGGCGTCTGACTGGTTCACACTGTGGATCATCAACACTCCATTGGCCATGTCAACCCTGCTCTGTAATGGAAGAAAAAAGAATTAGATCTAGGACAGGCTCAAGAAGACTTCCTACAGATGTCGTCTTAGACAAAGAAGGTCTCCACTTGGTGTAGTTAAATACACATTCCTAGGAAATGTATTGTTTACTAGAGTATTAACGTCATTTGGAAATGATAACTATTTCTTGGTGAGCATTTTTGCTTTTCTGAGCCACATGTGCTTGGTAGACTGCAAAAGCCTGTGAAGAGGAACCAGCAGTTGGCTGAGCTGCTTCTTTTACAGAGCAGAAACTGGAAGGAATTTCAAGGCAGAAAGGCTGGAGGGTGTGGAACAGGATCCAGGTAAACAATACTTCAGGTCAGAGCAACAATCCTTGTATCCATCTGACCAGAGATTTGACTTTTCTCTTCTCAAAAAACAAACACAATTGAAAAAAAAAAAAAATCCTGTAGTTAGATTATGTATGAAATTATTAGGTATCTTTTCATTTTAATACCAAGCACATTCTTATTTTAAAAAATATTTTAGCAGGCCGGGCATGGTAGCGCACGCCTTTAATCCTAGCACTTGGGAGGCAGAGGCAGGTGGATCTTTGTGAGTTTGAGGCCAGCCTGGTCTACAGAGTGAGTTCCAGGACAGCTGGGGCTACAGGGAGACCCTGCTTCAAAAAGACAAAAAAAAGAAAAAAAAAAAAAGAGAAAAAATTTATCAGGGATTTCCTTATTTATCAACAAATATGACAAGGAATTTGATTCCATATTTAAAATAAAACCATTCATTCAGGAAACATACTCTCTTGTCAGAGGAATTTGTGTGACATGGATGTTGGGAATAGAAAAATCTGACCAGCATACCCTTTCAAAGGGGAAATCCTTAGGAAAATTAGAAAGACCCTGTGAATTAGTTTCTGTGTTTGCTTTCATGGCTTTGCATTTGTATCTGGATTTTTGTGTAATTATGTTTTTTAAGGCTTAACTGGCTTTAAAACAAGAAAATGTCAGGACTTGATGAAACTGTGGGAACATCTGATCTAATTTCTTCATTTTAAAAATGGAAAAACAAAACAAAACAAAAACCTGAGGCTTAAGAAGGTAAATGTTAGGTGGGTCAGGTTGCCCACGGCAATGTTAGGGCTGCCTGGGTAGGGCTTCTATCAGAGTCACAACTTTGTACACAGTTTTGGGTATCCTGAACTAACTCCTCCTCCTGTTCTTCCTCCTGTCAAGTCCACCGTCAAGGAAGAGGGCTGCTAAGATGAACTTCGGGTTATTCTGCAGTTAAACAGTAATCAGTGTGAAGAGCAAATGGTTTTACTGAAAAGTCATTTGTTAATTTTGTGGGTCACGGTAGGAGAATTCTACTCTAGTCTTTTCTCATATAGAGAGAGCCATGAGAAAGTCCTTGACGGCCAGACATTAACTTCATCTGCACAGCGATGACAAGCTAAATGATGTCAAAGGTCGGTGAGAATTAGCAATATGTCTACAGTGATCAATAATATTTTCTTAAGAACTTAGAGGCTTGAACTGGTTATGTAATGATAATTTGTCTGCTCATAGTTTTCATTGACTTTCAGTAAAGCAGAGATGAGGATTTGTCTTGCATTCTGTGTTACTTAACTTACACAGGCACGGGTATCCGACACTACCTGCGGCAGGAGTGGGGCTCCATTCTTCAGCCAGCGGTACGTGGGCTTGGGCTTCCCGGTAGCCTTACATTCCCACTTGAGGGGACTCCCACTGTCCAACTGGGTATCGTTCAGCTTTTCTACCCAGTGTGGGTATGCTGTATGCGTGGAAACAATAAAGAAATACGTATTCACTACTTCAACATCTTATACATTTAAAATTCACAGGGAAAAGCTCCCTATGTTTCCGTTTATTTAGCCTTTATTTGTTGCAGTTCACATAAGCACTGGGGAACGAATTGTGACACATAAAACCATTGCCTGAATCATGAGAAATGGAGTAGTCCTGATATTTTGCTTATCGAAGGCATTTTTGTAAATATGAAATGTAGCTTTTTTAAGAAACCACTTTAAAGCAAGTAGTTTGCTTCTTTACAGAGCCTGTCTAACGTGAGGCAGGCAGGTAGCTGGTAACTCTTTCAACCTGTGGCACCGGCACAGGAGTGCTCCTCTCACTCAATATTTGTTCTGATTTTTTGTTTGTCCTAAAAGCATCTGATTTGTTTTGGAAAAATAAAAACAGTGATCCAGCAAAGGCAAAATTCTTATTTCTAGATAAGTAACTTTGTAATGTTGGGTGAACTTCCTTAACCTCTCTGAGCCAGTTTCCTTGTAGAAGGGTAGGGAACTGTTTTCACAATGATGCTGACAGGGATTATACACGTAATACATTTCTGTTCACCATCAGCTCAGAATATAATGGGTGAAATACAAATGAAATATTTAGATTCACTCTATCAACAATTGCACTCATAATCTGACATGTGCATTGCCCTCCCAGCTAAAATCACTGGCAAGTTAGTTATCAGCTCTTGACAATATAATTTTAGTCCTTATTGTTTTAAGCTATGAACATTACTCTTTTATAATTAATTGTAACAAGCTATGCATAAGTTTAGCATTTATATATCAATCTTTGTATCACATAACAGAACTAATTGTAAAACAGCGTGACTTGGTGATGTTCCTGGTCTGGGTCCTTTGATGCTGTCTGTAACTATATGTTGATTGGTGACTGACTTAAAAGCTTTCAAGAAAGCCCACATAATTACACATGGAAATATGCACACATACATATGTGTGTGGATCTATACACACATGTGTACTCAGACAGAACCATAAATGAATGAGGGTCATGGAGAATGTTAAAATGAAGGTAAATTCCATATTGAGAATAAATTTAACAACAATGCCTAGTACCAAGGGTATTTGTACTTTGAGTTATTATCTGTCATACCTAGAAACTATAGTTAAATGTAATACAAAGCCATCTCAACTTTTCAATGCTTTTTTACATTGTAAAGAATTTATAATATATCAATACATCTAAATGTGTATTATAGGGTCCAAACCATAATGACACTGATGGGATTTTTAAAATGTGCACTGGTTTGATGCCTGAATTTGTTTTATTCCATAACATAAAAAGACAGTGTAATGCAAATAAGAGTCTTGGTAAAATATGATTATTGGTAATGTAAAATCAGAAAGCTGTGAGGTTTCCTTAGGCTTTTTGTGGGCAGCATACTGCAGTTAACTAAGAGGTGGTGGCTTTAACTTCAGAATAGTCGTGCAGGGCCAGCACACAGCACAGCTTGGTCTGCTGGAGAGGAATCTTTGACTTATCGAAATAAATTCTCAGACAGCAAAATGCCTTCGTGAGTAAAGGTGCTGCTGCCAAACCCGAACACCCGAGTTCAATCCTGGGACCCGCATGGTGGAAGGAGAGAACCAACTTCTGCAAGTCAGCCTCTGACCACCACTTGCATTCTGTGGTGAACACACACACACACACACACACACACACACTCTAACCATACAAATAAGTGGAAAAAGAAATCCCAGGTTTGGCTGCATTTAATATAAACCTAGTAACTACTATCTGACTTTTGGGGGGCTACTCCTTTCTGGTCTTGGAACACTGAGGAGACATATGGACTTTAAACTGGGGGGCCATTATAACCTCACCAGATGCACTGTATATTGGCAACTACTTATGCAATATATTTGAGTTTCAAAATGGTCTCTGGGTTCCATTTCTTAAAACACAAAGCAGATGTTCATAAAACGAACTGGTGCTTCTTGGCTCTGGTAATTAGGAGCTATGTAAATCTCTACGAAAAATGCTCTGCTCTTGGCTGCTACTGTTCCTGTACCTTAAGTATTGAGGAGTCAACATATTTTACTCACATAGATCACTTTTAGTATTATGACTCTCAGTTGTGGGCCAGTGAGAAAAATGTGGTATGTTGGAAGACGATACAGTTGGGGGTGAATGTAGGTTCAAGACCCAGGGCCCTGATGCCCGAGTTGTAACATGGGATTGGAAATGAGGTCTTAACTTTAATGAGCCTCATTTGTAAGCCATAGATGGCAATTCCTATTTCAGTGGGCTACAATGTTGATTGAACATAATAAACAGTGATTGAGTCTCAGCCCCAATTCATTGCCCGTGCATAGCTTCAAATTTATTTTCTATCAAGAATGAATGTTCATGTGGTACCATTTTCAGAATAGTATATTCAAGGCAAGAAAATATTTCTCCATAGAAACGGGGTCATAATCTCACAGATGATTTTATAAGTCAAGAATTGATAATTTGATATCATTTCCTACAGTGAATATGTATATATTTTCATAATTAAACCATCATTTAAAATCCTAACATAATCAAACGCAAATTTAAAGAAAAGGAAGAGTTAAGGAGAATTAATGGCCTTAATTTAAATGCATCAGTTTCCTCTAATGATAATGTTGGAGTATCAATAAGCCCCATAAATTGAACTGGTCCAGACTACAAAAAATGTCTAGTCTATCTGTTGGAGGACCCACTTTTCCAGTCTGACCAGTGGTTCTGGTGATAGAACCACTCCCAGGAAGGCAGGTTCACCTTAAGTTATGCTAAATCGATGGGCGGGATACCTGGTGTGTTAATAATGTAGTGAATATTTCCCGCCTGGAACTAGCTCTCTGCTGAACTTTCAGACCAGCCACAGTCACGCAGGTCTCTGTAAGTCTGTCTGCCTTAGAGCGTAGTTTCTCCTTTTCTTCTTCACGCCTTTCTTTCTATACATGCTTTCTTTAATCCTTTGGGCTGCCCCAGCATCTTGTATCTCTTCACTTTTTCTCTAAAGCTTCCTTCTCCCAGCCATGTGGCTGCCAGTCAGCCCAGCATCTGACCTCCCACACAGGCTCTAACCTGCATGGCTTCATGGCTTTCTTTCCTTCTTCCCACTATTCACCTCCTCAAGGCAGCTGCCAGGATTACCAGCTCACCTGCCCTGAGGATTTTTCCTTATGATTCTAATAAAATTGTAAAAGCTTCTGTTTGGGTCCAGTCTTAAATTCTTTTATGAGTGAGACTAAGAACCCTCTAGGGGACCCTCTTTCTCCCTGTTTCAATAACTAAAGCCAGTTAATAGAATTTTCCACCCAACAGTATAGGCAGCAGGAGAGAAGTGGTGGCTGAATTCTGGTCTCCAATTCTAATGTATATTCTATTTTATTGTTAATTTTATAATTTTCACTATTTCATTTGTTATTTTGGGGATGGTGGAGATCAAATGAAATGCCTAAAATAAACATTTTCCCCCAGAACTAGAGCCCTAGCTTCTCTAGTTTACTTCTGAACTTATTTACAACATCTCCCACAGCATAGACACATTGCATTGGAGAAAAAGCCTAAGCACATTCAGTTCAGCTGCAAGTCGCCTCCCCCCACCTTCTTGCCCCGATTTCCCTTCTGCATAGTTCTGTCCTTAATTCCCCTTCCCCTGTTGGTTTCCTGTCTCATTTATTCTCACCTACCTTCCTTCATGCCCCTTCCTTAAAGCCCCTTCCTAATTTCCTCATTGTTGAAAGGAATTGTAACTAAGGCTTGCTTTGGTTAACATGTGAACTGCCAGCACTGTACAGTGGTGTCTGAACACAAGCTCTTGGTAACATTAGTTTCTCTATTTCTTCAGGCTCCCATCCATCCCTGCTTCACACGGAATCCTGTAGAGTGATGTATCCACGCAATAGTCCTTATAACAGGAATTATAATAAATAGTCACAGCGTTCCAAATATCATGCCTAGTTCTAGAAAGAACCAAGAAAAAATAAAAAAATAAAAAAATAGTGTTTGTTCTAAAAGTGCTAACTTGCTACAATGTGTGAAGATTTAATGACGGTAAGTTTATCTATAATATTACTCAATATCAAAAATACAGTTAGTTATATGTCTTAATTGGTCACTTGCAACAGTGCAACGTAGTTTTCTTCTAAGGATTCTGGTTACAGATCTATTTTAATACTTATGTGCAGTATAGATAATAAATACAGATTATCTACAGAGCATCATGACACTGCCTTTAAAGAAACACGAGTCATTGGTTGGTGGTCACATGCTACATATTAAATAATAGATCACATATTTTTATATATTTTTCTGTACACAAAATACCTAGACTTGTGCGAATCCCTTATAGTACAGAGCTTCTTACGTTCCAACACTTTCCTTCCTCCACCTCTTCCTCCTTTGATGTTTTTCCTTCCTCCCTCCTTCCTTCCCTCCCCCATCTCCTCCTTCCTTCTTTCCCTTCCTTCCTTACCCCCTTTCCCTCTTGCCTTCCTTCCGTTCTTCTCCCCACCCTCCCTTCTCTCTCTCTTCCTCTCCTCTGTTCCTTTTTTCTTCCTTCCCTTCCTTCTTTCCTTCATTCCTTACTTTTTTCTTCACTTTTTTTTGTTAATGACATCTTTCCATTTCTTTTTAATTGAGACTATGAACAAGCAAGGTTCAATTTATTTGGGAATAAAATTTGTGTGTGACTAATTAAAACAAAATTTATGGGTATGTTTACAGAAACTAGAGTGGACAGAAGTAATCAAAGAAATTAACTGATAAAACATCCCTACATAATAGCACAGTATACTCACCTGGATAATTATGCAGTTTATTATAAAATTCAAATAGTTTCCAAAGCTTAGTACTTTAATTTTGCTAGTTTATTCTTTTTCTGAATTAAATGGCTTAAATATGTTTATTTTATAATAGTCATATGTTTACCTTGATTTTACTTTTTATTTAACAACCACGGACTTCTTTATGTTCTAGCATTTGTTATATTTTATGTTAATACTAATGCCCTTATAAAAACCAAACAGGGGCTGGAGAGAAGGCTTGTTGGTTAAGAGCACTGGCAGCTTTGCAGAGGGAAGACAGCGTTTGGTTCCCAGGAGCCACATGGCAGCTAACAACTTTTAATTCCAGTTCCAGGGGCTTTCACACCCTCTTCTGTCCTCCATGGGCACTGTGTGATACTGATGCACTTATATACATGCAAATAAAACCCCATACACATAAAATAAAAATAATTAAAATTAAAAAGAAAAAAACCTAAACAGATGGATTAAGTTTGTGTCTGCCATCTCCATTAGTCATAAGATTTTAATTCTTAAAGAAAACCAGGCTGCCTTACAATGCTGCCTTCTCATCTGTATGTTCTAAATAACGCACACAAAGCACTCCTGTGACTACGCTTCAAGAACCGATTGTACCCAAAAAGGAACCTGTGTTCTCAGCACTGTGGCCTCTACTTTTTTCTAACAAGAATGAAGAGTTTCTACCAAAAACCACTTCTCTGTGGAAAGAGCCTGTATACAAACCAGGACAGAGCAGAACAGTCAGGAGCCACAATACCAAAATGCTAAGATTCAGAAGGCTCCCCAAGAACCTATATATGGAGGGCTTGGTTGCCAGACTGTGGCACTCCTGGGGAGTGGTGGCGCCTTTGGCTGGTGGTAACTTGCAGGAGTTAGCTGGGTCACTAGGGGTGTGTCTGAGTGGGACTAGCCTCCTCTAGTGCCCCTCTTTCTCTCTGCTTCCCAGCAGACAAGAGGCGAACTTCCTTCTCCGTCACATGTTCCCTCCATGATGTACAATCTCAGCACAGACTTACGTGTGGCTGGGCCAGGCATCTGTGGACTGACTCCAAGAAGCAGCATAAACCTTCCCCTTTTAAAGTTGATTAGTTCAGGTATTTTGTCTCCATGACAGAAAGCTGACTAATGTGCATAACTCAATGTAAATGTTGATCAAGGTCCCAGCTGCATTTTATAGTCATATCAGACTCAGTGGGTTAAAAGTGTAGAAGTTGGGTGAAGCAAGATATTTGTGGGAGTGAAATGGGGCATTATTCATAATATTCTCAGGGAAACAGACACCAACTCTGATTATATGTGTTAATCAAAATGTATGACAGCATGATGGAAGCCTTTCTAACTATGGACTAGAGTGAGAGGCCACACCCTTTCAAGACAGCATCCCAATATGTCAAACATAAGAGGCAAGTGGTTGTTGGCTTAGCTTTTCTGCTTGTTAAAATTCTGTATCTGTAATTCAAAGTAATGAATTAATACTGAACCAAAGCAATTTTCAAGCATTTTTCTCAACCATCTTTGCTGCCTATGAATCAAGTAGCTAGAGCAAGGATTGTGGATCAGAGGAATTGTACCAGGAAAGATCCATCTCTGCACTCTTGAATGCATTCTATTTAGGGCTACAGCATTCCTCACAACAGAGCTGTTTGGGACTTTTCTGCAGTAGCATCGAGAATGATAAGCACGCTGGCCAGACTCAGCAGGTTTATTTATATACATATACTACATATGTAATATAGATGCAATTACAGATATATAATTCAGGATGACTAGATCATGAATTTGAGCTGGGGAGTTGGAAGAGGCAGAACAAAAAGTGGAAATGATATAAATACTGTATTCAGGCATGAAATTCTCAAAAACTTAAAAATCAAGGTTGAAAAAGTACTAAGTATTCCTTACATTTTTTGCCATTTAAAATAGTACGGTGCTTGTTAAATTCATGTCTTTCATGACCAGGTTTTATTTGTAATGAGGGGCTCAATAACACTCCATTCTGTTACTGTGAGGAGGAGTCCAGTGGGGTACAGGAAAACATTATTTTTTTCTTTTTGGCTAAAGACTGTCATGATGATTTACTCTAAGAAATTATGAACAGTTATGAATGCTACATTTCATCAAAAATCAGGAGTTTGGAAGATTCATTAAATGTAACTTGTATATCCATGGATAGTCTGAGAAGATCAGCGTCCATGTTGTGTCATCATATAAACTTTTAAAGGATGACAGATACTTTTCTTCAGAATGCTTTCTCCTAGTCAGCTCTTCAGGGTGATCATCATTGAAGCGTTAGCTGAATTTTCTGAGCAGAATGCAGCAGGCTCTGAATTCTAAAACCCTTTGCACACGTACTGCCTTAATGTGAGGCTCAGTTTTCATCTAGCCCAAGTGTTTGATTGCTAGCATGTAGAACAGTATGGGGCATTTAATAAAAATGAACTGAATGACTGAATGGATGGATGAATGAATGAAGTGTGCATGGCACAATCTGATGCAATCTGAATTCCTAAGGGAGTTTCTAAGTTATTGAAGATGAGGACCAACGTTATATGTAGATATCAATAGCACTTCAAAGTGTTCTTTAATAATCCCTGTGTAGATCACGTAACTTTTTAGGAGAACCAGTATTGAGCTCCAATGAGTCATATTTCTTGGATGAATCAATCATGTGCATGTGGATAAGTGAATATTCAGTGCCTCCGTATTTGTTCATCTCTGTGCCCTGGTTTCTTGTGTTCTTTTCTGTCCTGTTTATTGTCCCCCCCTGGGAAATGAGCATATTGACAGTTACCCACCGTGCATACTGTATAGGCAGAGAGGAAGAGTGGCCCTTTATGAGCCTCAGAGGCAAGTGTGAGATGCTGAAAAAGCTTGAACCTCATGACCCCACTTCTTACACATCATTTAGTCGACTGACCAGCATTTTTAGAATTCATAAACACTTGCAGGTTGCAGGAGCTGTGTGTTATTACACAGATCCATTCATCCAGGCCAGAACTCAGCAAACTTCTGTGAAGTGCTGGATAGCAAATATTTCAGTCTTTGCAAAATCAGTTGGTCTGAGTCTCTACTTAATTTTGCCAGAGCCAGGCAGATGCTAAAATGGAGCATTTATAAATAAATGGGTATTTACTGAAATCAGCAGCTTGGGCAGATTCAGTTCATGGGCAGAAGATTTTTGACCCTGAGTCAAGTCAATGGCTAAAATGAATTAATATTTCAGAGGATGGTTTTTGGTACCTGTAAAATATATCATTTTTATGGTTATTAAGTCTCTATCATCTACAAAGAGGCTGATTATTTTTCTTTAAAATATTTGTGTATAGGATCATTTTACATAATGCTTTCTATACCAAAGAAGAAGAGCACACACACACACGTACATATTTGCTTGTGTTTTGAGAATATAGTAAGCAATGCTTAGTTCAATTTGCATATCTTATCGCACTCTTGGAGGAAAAGCTTTGTGCTTTTCTGAAAACACTTACTGTATATTTGTAACTGTCCACGAAAGGAGTTCTTCCCACGGGAGTTTTCAGCTGTGCATTCGTAAAAGCCAGCGTCCTCCAGCTGCAGGTTTGGAATCTCCAGCACAGCCTGAGATTTCCGCAGACGAGACTTACTAGGAATGTAACCATTAACCTTCATCCATGTGATGGTTGGAACAGGGCTACAATGGGCAGCAGAACATTGTTAATCCACTTCTGCTATTAGGGACATAGATTCAGTTATCTGGTAATTTAAGCACTTAATAGCCTGAGCACAATAAAATGTAATCACAATTAAGGACCATGTGCCAACTCATACAAGTGACTTTCTGCTTGGGTATTGGAATGGTGGTTAGGTTTTCTTTCAGATTTTAGTAAAGCAATGCAAAGACCACACTATACATTCCCACCCTTCCTCCCCCTCCAGCTTCTCCTTGTAACACTCCCTCTTAATTCATGGCTTCCTCTTCTTTTACTATTGTTGTTTTTTCTGTCATTTATAAATCTATCATCCATCCATCCATCCATCCATCCATATAATCTACATATCTATTGAGTCAATTTAAACTTTTTCATATGTACATATGCTTAGGCCTGACCACTTGGGGTTGGATAAACTATCTGGGAGCTTGTCCCTGGAGTAAATTGATTCTCCCTCTCTCAGCAACTATTGATTTCCTGAAGCTCCTCATTTACTGTTTTGACCTTGTCAAACTCGTCTCATCCACGCTAGCATAATAACTGGTGGTGTCAATACGCATGTCTAATAGACAACTACTATTTAATGTATAAAATGAATAAATTGCAACTACCTAGGAAAAAGTTTAGAGAATCACAAGCAAGTCACAAATGACCACACGAGGTAAAAAATAAACCCGACTATTCAAAAATCAAGAAAAATGAAAACTATACTTAAGGTGCATATCCATGTATGTTCTAATATAATTTCCATAAAACAAATCCAAGAGAAAATGAGCACGTAGTTCAACCTCTTGGTTCCCGGTTGAGAAACACAGAATGAAGCAGAGACAGGCACAGAGGGAGAGTCAGTGTTACCCTCACTCTGGGTACTGCTCTGCACCTGTCTAAGTCGCTAGGTTCACAGATCTTCTTTGATAGGATAGGACTTAATATATATGAGAGAATGCATGAAATCCAGTCGAGAGTTTTGGGGGAACACAGATGGTGGAGGGAGTCTAAATTTGACTAAGATCTATTACATGAAATACACAAAAACTCAATGAAAACATTTTTTTTTTAAAGTACTGAGCCTAGTGCATAAAAGTGCTTGCCAACAAGACTGAGAACCTGAGTTTGATCACTGAGACCCACATGGTGGAAGGAGAGAAGTCGTCCTCTGACCTCCACATGCCATGCCATGTGTTCCTATGCCCACAACTAAATACACATGAAATATATTACAGAAAAATCTGTATAAAACAGTATTTTTTGTAATACATTCTCAGATAATAATAACCTTCCTTTTCCAAAGAAAAATTTAGGGAGCTCTTTTTAACGTCTATTTGTTTTCTCCTCTTCTTCCTAAGTTTTACACTCACAATTTGTTTGATGGGAGCTCTGGTGGAACTCTGGGCTTTGGGAGAACATACACATTTATAATAACTGAAGTAAAGCCACTCATATGTTCCCACAGTTCACGTCATTTCTACCTTAGTTTTTACTTTGCAGCTCATTAAATGGAATTAGCTGACTCCTAGTTATACAAAAATACACAATGTCAAATTGTTGAAAGGAATATTAAGTGGCTCTTTTCTTCGTTTCTAAATGTTTACTGTCTTGATTCCTAGTGGTTTATCCATTGGCTTTACGGCTACTTCCTGAGTCATTTTATGCTACTTTACTTAAGCTGTAATGAAATCTCAATTCCTTTAAATCTGATTATTTACTCTCCTGTGGAAGGTAGTTTGTGTTAGAATATCAATAAACCCCATAAATTGAACTGGTCCAGACTATAAAATGTCTAGTCTATCTGTTGGAGGACCCACTTTTCCAGTCTCATTGGTTGATTATTTGGTGATAGAACCACTCCCAGGAAGGCAGGTTCATCTTAGGTTATGCTAAATAGATGGGCAGGATACCTGGTGTGTTGATAAGGTAGTGAATATTTCCTGCCTGGAACTAGCACAGCTCTCTGCAGAACTTCCAGACCAGTCACAGTCATGTAGGTCTCTGTAAGTCTGTCCACTTTCTGAACTCTTCAGGAAAGCATAGTTTCTCCTTTTCTTCTTCATGCCTTTCTTAGCAAACCTGCTTTCTCTAAGGCTTTGGGCTCCCCCGAGCATCTTGTAGTCCTTCACTTCTCCTCTAAAGCTTATTTCTTCACTTTTCCTCTAACGCTTCCTTCTCCCAGCCATGTGGCTGTCAGTTAACCACATGTCTGACCTCCCACACAGGCTCTAACCCTGCATGGCTTCCATGATTTTCTTTCCTTCTTCCCACTATTCACCTCCTCAAGGCAGCTGCCAGGATTACCAGCTCACCTGCCCTGAGGTTTTTTTTCTTTAAGATTCTAATAAAATTGTAAAAGCTTCCATTTGGATCCATTCTTAACTTCTTTTATGAATGAGATTAAGAACCCTCTAGGGGACCCTCTTTCTCCCTGTTTCATATTAGTGACCATGAAGGGACCCCAAAATTCTAATAACTTATTTATTGGTGGTCATGCAGAGATTTTCAGGCACGCACTGAATTTGGCTCTTAAGCAGCAGGTGAACTTCCTTACCCATTTTGCTAGCTTGCCTTGGAACATTCATATGTGGGCTGAAGAGGCTGGGCAGCTTTGGTGGAGAATTTAAAGAATTTTGATGGCCTTCCCCATGGAAACATGGACAGAAGATTTTAAAATCCATTTTTTTTTTCCCCTGAACTTTTTCTTAGGCAGATGGGCTCAAAATTTTGATCTTTGGCCCTGTTGGGCACCAAGCAAGCTGAGCTCAGACCATGTGGTCTTGAGGTGGCTGCTTTTCTGACTAGGTCTAAGTATTTTAAATATCAGTGTACATGGACAGTTGGGGGCTGTGCTCAAAGCATATGCTTTCAGAGAAACAACCCAGTGATTTATGTGCTAATCATGGCACCCTGCTCCTCCTGCTGCCTTCACGAGTTTCTTTTCCAGCATAGCTTATATCTAGGAATGAAGAGATATGGAGAACTTTGCTTGGCATTACAGCTACAATGGTTGGTGAGAGACACAGATTCTTTTGCTTTACTTTACTATTTGGGGCCTATATATAATCTGAGGGTACTTTCTCCTTTTATTTCAAGTCTAACTTAACTGGGGTGCTTTGTAAAAGTAAAAATGGTTGCTGTCTACATTTAATCTGTGAGGCATGTGAATCCCACAGGGCTTATATCCTGGTGGAGGATAGGCTTGTTTTATCATGGGACTGCTCACTAGCATGGCCATGTGGCCTGGTTACCATCATGGCTGCTGATGTCACCAAGAAGGAGGCAAGCATGTGACCTGGTCTCCACCTTGGTTGATGGGGACATCAATATGGGGACAGTCACAGGGCTTGGTTACCATCTTGGACAGTGACATTTTCAAAATGGCGGTAACCCGTGTGAGCTTGCCACCATCTTAATTCCAACCACATGGCATGATTCAAAATGGCGATACCCAAAAACTTACCAGTACCAGGGGTGCCTAGGAGATCCCTGAACTGCAGACATTTAAGCATGTGTCCTAATTATCATTATCTTGCAATTTATTTTTGTTTTGGTTTCTTGATGATGTCATAGAAAAGCAATGCATTTTTATGTCACATTAAGGAAGTAATACCAGATCTCCACAATGGGGATTTAAATTTTAACATTGTTTGGGCCTATTTCTAAAGGGGATTACTTTGAGTTTTAACTTCTTGTATGGTATATTTACTGATTTTTAAAGATGACTTAAGTTTTTACATTTCCTGTTTTTTAAAACGGATGTTTGCATGACATCTTTACCTGGTAGTTTTAAAGGAATTATTTTGGATTTTTCCATCTTTTATATGGTATATTTGCTGATTTATAAAAGTTACTATTTTAAATTCTTACTCTTTTGCATAGTATATTTGTTAATTTCTAAAGGGAACTTAAAGTTTTTCTAGCCATGTGCCTTCAAGATTATCCAGGTACAAAGGGAGCTGACACTTTGTGATGGCTAGACCTGTGAAGCACATGGGAATTTGCTATACTCAAGCACCAAACCTTACAAGAGACAAGCTGCTACCAGCACATAGTTACAGCAATGAGAGGTTAAAAGGGATAGTCTACTTGGGTGGGAGGCTTAAGTTGCCACCTCCACTGGTCTTAATTCCTCCCCTTTCTGCATTGTGATTCTAAGCCTGTTTTTCTCTGGAATAGGGTTTTTTCCCTCTCTGATGCTCAGTTGCTCTATGCTTGCTTTTGTTCGTGCCCCATAATTCCCTGGGTACTTTCTAGTTACTATGTCATAGACAGACTAAAGGGGAAGAGTACTGTGATACTGTCTCTTTGCAAGTTCTTTTAGGTACCATTGTCTTCTATGTTCTGTATTCTCCAGGTTATGGGTACCTAATCTAAGATTATGAATAGTAAATTATGAAATGGCTTTTCTAATCCAGAAAGACAGATAGGCTTCTTTAAAAGAATTCACTCTGTGAGTTAACAGTCTTGCCTTAGTTTTAAAAAGTAAAATATGGGTCAACAATTTGTTCTTTTAGGAAAAGTGTCAGATGGAACATTTAAGAGGATATTAAGGTTCAGCCCACAAGATAGCCAGATCAGGAAACCTTCCTAACTTATATAATCACTAGAAGTTGGCTAATTTCCCTAATGCATCAGGGCCAATGTTTACTCCAATGGTTTCATGTATGGTGGTGCCCTACACAGACAGGATAAGATTAATTGGGTAAAATGCAGAAAGAATCCATTAATGTTTCAGGGTGTTAGAGGGTCACACTGGTAAGAGTGAATAATTCCGAACAGGCTAACCCTTCTGTAGGGTCACTAGTAAAAAAGGAGAGGATACAGGTATCCCTGAGCCCACGCCGATGATGGAGTGATAGTGACTAAGTCAGTACTGTCGCCTTTTGTCATGGTTGCTCATGGTAAAAGTGTGAGAGTCTCTGGAGGGTGCTCTGAAGCAGGAGATAAAGACAGCTTGGGAGATGTTCCAGATAGCTTCTTTTCTCTTACA